CGGGGAAGCACCCTCTTGACAGTCAGTTTCACAATTAGGCTTCTTGTTATAGAAGTAGATTTTTGTAATAGAAGGTTCTTGCTGACGTGACACCTAACATGACGCAATGTTCATTAAGATGGTTTTGCGGACCTATTTGTTAGTTGGATAGTCAGAGGCACCCGACAATTGTAGACAATTGTCATCTCAAATTACGCCCGGCTTAATAGATATCCATATTCATGCACACATGTAAAAAAACAATTAGCCATGATTTGAAATGTTTTAACATTGGCAAATCCGACACCAGAGTAAATGAGAATGGAAAACAAAAAAGAAGGCTACGCCAATCTTCGAGGTGGGATGGGCCTGTCGGTAGAGAAAAAAAAAGCATTATTTGAACTAATTTGAACTCGAGCACGTTGTGTAATTTTTAGCAAGCTTGTCTCAACTGAATTGTGAGTTCGATCCTTACTGAGTGCTCCATACTTTCGGCCTTGTGCCACATTCTAAGCTGCGCTTAGAAAATCAAAAGGGAAACTCGACGTGGTGTAATAGGTAGCAAACGTGTCTCACTAGATCAGTTACGACTGAGTAGCGACTTCGATCTTCAGTGGGTGCTCCACGCTTTCGGCCTTGTGCTCCATCTCAGCTACGCTTAGAAAAATCACCATTTCTTGTCTCGCTCGATCAATTACAACTGAATAGTGAGTTAGATCCTCACTGTGTGCCCCATACTTTCGGTCTTGTACCACATCTAAGCTACACTTAGAAAACTACCACACTGGGTGCTCCATACTTTCAGCCTTATGCTACGTCTTCAAGATTATATATAGCGATTTGGTAAGTGTAGCTTACACGTGGCACAAGGCCGAAAGCATAGAGCACCCAATGAGTATCGAACTATCGAACTAAGTATTTAGTTGCAACTGATCTAGCGAGATAAGCTTGCTAACTATTACCCAACGTTCAAGTGTCCCTTTGAAGGTTATAAAAATCCGAAACATATTTTTGGATTGGAAGAACAATATTTATTTGCGAGAGAGTTTTGCTTTAAGGATATTTTAGAGTTAACAATTTTTCCAGATACAAAAACTATTTAATCCCTATAGATGGGGAGATAAGAGATTGATTCATACCTTTGCCAAGGGTATTTGCCCGTAAGTGAATGTCTCCATTCGAATAGCTATGAGTAAAAATCTGTGTTTTGAACAGTAATTTGGGAGAACACTTAACTAAGATAGGGTTTCCGGCAGAACGGCCCTCGAAATCCCACAGTCTAAGCATGGCAATTAAGACCCTATACTTAGTTACTGATTTCTGTGGGATAGGATAGAAAAGGGCTCCTTTAAGCATTGAGAGAAACATGGAAGAATAAAGTTTATACAGTCATTCAGAAAAGATTAAAAAAAGAAAAGATTGTAACATGGTTGTTTTCATTTATTGCATTACTTTGTATCATATGTGATTGCATGATGCAATAACTTTTTGTTATTGCACGAGCCATTAATCACATATAATTTATGGCCAAAACCTTTTTGTCATTGACAAATTAGTAACGATTATGAAAGGATTCATGCAATGAATTAGGCTTAGAATATGGATCCAAAAATATTCTCAGTTTCACGAAACACGCAAATTGTATTTCTATGGAATAAAGGCAATTCTGAACGCGAAATTACTGTAAGAATAGTTTGTAGCAAAACAGGTGGTTATTCTCAGTATATCCCATCGCATCGAAACAGTAACAAAGAAGGTTATACGAAATACTTGAAATGATTAGAAAACATCATGTACCAATTTGTTTGTTTGTTTAGCGGCATATCAACTCCTTGTGGGTCATTTAATGCGGAAATTTTATTTTATTTAATTTCTTTTACAAAAATGTATTGCTGCTAATTTTTTATTTTTTACAAAAATGTATTGCTGCTAATTTTTTATTTTTTACAAAAATGTATTGCTGGTAATTTTTTTTACTATGAAAATATATTGCTGGTATTTTTACTATAAAATTGTTTATACTTTTATAATGTTTAATCCCCGGTTTTGCAGTTAACTAATTGTCTATAACAGGGACCCTATCTAATCCTGCCACTCGGGGTCAGGGTAAATTTGGAAACAACAGTAATTAAGACATCGTTCCAAGCTCTTCAAAACATCCAGATCAGAAGCCTTGCTGCCGGATATAGTTTATCGTCATATCCAGGACGGTAAATTGGTTTGTAAAATTTAGTTAGTCTTTCATAAATTATTTCTTATTGCGTTAGTTTTTAACCTTAAATTAGCAAAATTACAAAGTTGTCATAAACTTTTATTAATGACTGTAATAGAAGAATATATACGTATCGAATATGTTCTTTTATAATAAATAAATAAATAAATAAGAAAGAAAGAAAGAAAGAAAGAAAGAAAGAAAGAAAGAAACTCATTCAAACCCCGGTTCCTGTACGATCACCGAAGTTAAGCAACGTCGAGCCTCGTCAGTACCTAGATGGGTGACCAATTGAGAATACCAGGTGCTCTAAGCAGTTGGGTTCGTTATATTCACTTACGTGTTAATTAGTAAAACTTGTATCACTAAACCGTTATTATCCCCCAAAATAAAATTGTACATAAATATTAATATTTAGTCATTAAATAACCCATAGAGGTTCATATGTCATTAAACAAAATCAACCAAGCAATCAAAAATAAAAAGGAAAAATCTACCTCTTCTCTGCCTATCTATGGATTAATTAGTAAGACTTGTACCACAAATTCAGAATTATCTAAAAAACTCTTACATAGTTTCTGGCTTTAAATAATCTCTTGATAAGCCATAAAAATGAATTAATAATACTTAATTAATTATTAACGTTTTCCATCGCTGCAAAAGGCTTTGATAGGGGAATCTTTCTCTAATAAAAACCAGCTTCAAGAGTTGGTCGAAAACTTTTTCCAGAATTTTTAGTCAAAATGTATCAAAGAACTGCTTGATAAGTCATGTCCGGCGCGAAAATGCAAGATGATGATGATGATGATGATGATCAGAAGAAGAAGAAGAAGAAGAAGAAGAAGAAGAAGAAGAAGAAGAAGCAGCAAAAACAATAGCCAAAATAATATATGGAATTCCCGTAAATCATTTTCGCAATTTAGGAAATATTCACTTACGCGCAATTACCCTTGGGTAGCTATGAACCCACCTCTTCTATTCCGCCCAGCAATGTGTTTATTAGTAAGACTAAAACCCTTATTATCTAAAAAAAAAAAAAAAAAATGCATACCAAATTATGAGATTTCGGCATTACATAACCCATAGAGGTTGATACGGCGCTAAAGGAATAGAACCAACCAACTTTAAGAAATCGAATTGGATTTTAGTTGAAATGAAATGCTAAGTTTGAATGTGTAATACATTGTAATTAATTTTCGTACTTTTCTATTGCCTTTTGTTCATTTTCACTTTGTGTGGTAAAGATCTTGAAAAACTGTTCAATGTAATTATCTTTTAATAAATCTTCGACAACGGAAGTGTCGGACACTATATATATCTATATCTATATCTATCTATCTATCTATCTATCTATCTATATATATATATATATATATATATATATATATATATATATATATGTACAGCCATCAGAATTCAGAATATGAAATATTAACAAGGCAAATCACAGGGGCCACGAAAATCATTAAATAAATACCAACATCAAACGACACTATGTCAGCGAGTTAATGAGAACATTCCTGTCGTTCAAGTATTCAGGTTATTACATGAAAATCTTATAATTAGAAAGATCAAATTGTTGGTGTGTATCTAAAGTAGTCTACTTTTTAAAATTCTTGGGAGCTGCTGTGTAATTCTGAAACCTACTTAATGATTTACACATGATACCTTTCAATGATCCTGGCTCTTCTGAATATTTACAGACCTTTACTCTAAAGATAATTTCATGAAGCTTATATAATATTAATAATATAGTAGTCGTTAAAGGAAATGGAAACAAGAAGGAGACTTGTATTTAACATCAGGAGCAGACAGTTGAAATTTCCAAGGAACCTAATGAGGAAAGAATGATTGGAGAATTTGATACCCACAGGACAGATTGAAGGCAAGAGTGAAGGAGGAAAACAACGTATAACAAGTAGTCTTGAGTAAATAAATGGCAGAACAGTTTTTAGGAGAAATAAAAAAGACAGATTTTATAAAGATCTACAAAGGACAGGAAATTGTGGAGAACCACGATCGCCCACGTCCTGAAGGGACACATCACATAAAAGAGATAGTCTTGAGCTGTATACTTGAAATAAGCTTTTGAATAAAGATTTGTAAGGAAAAACAAAAATATTTTTCATACACATTATTCCATTCATTTTTACTCTCTAAGGACGAGAAGGTGTGTCGTACTTCACACACATACACACAGAGACAAACATATATACACGGAGTGTATCAAAAATACGTTTACAAACATTAGGGGCGGTTCTTCACACCAAAATAAGGACAAAAGTCTATATAAACATATGTCCACAAATCCTTCGTTTCTGAGTTATTAAGTTTAAAGAAAATTTAAGGTAAATGGCGCTGTGTTGCTATGTAGACTAGATTATATTTGTTATTCGTGTACATTTGTGGCTAGTCCGGTAGCATAAACAAGCGATCGAGGAAGACCGATTGTACATTTAACAACATCTACTGTAAACTTTAAACTAAATAACTCAAGGATTTGCGGAGATATGTTTATGTTTATATGGTCTTTTTTTCCTTGTTTTAGTGTGAGGAACCCGCTCCTAAAGTTTGTAAAAGTATTTTTAATACAGCTTATATATATATATATATATATATATATATATATATATATATATATATATATAAATGTCATAAGAACAGTGTTCCTGATCAAACCGAATTCATAAATAATTACGTCGGTCACACTACTACATGCTCATCTAGGCGCCTTACGTTACAGCTATCTGACCACAGCTCTATTGGAACCCGTTTAAACACACAAACTTCCCAGACTCCATCTGAAACATGCTTGTAGAAAATACTAACATAATAACCTCATCCACATGTAAAAAAGATTAAAACTAATAGAAGCCTTAATAATAAAAAGTAAAAGCCAACATTCAATAATATTAACTACGAACACGGCCGCAGTGTGTTGTGTTCAGAAAATAAAAACATCCCTATAACCCTAGAAACATACACACAACTCATACACCCAATTAAAAAGCTAAAATGAAATCCTCCTTGATAATGTCTAAAAGTATAGCGGACAGCGCTCATATTACAAAACATTTTGACTGTTTCTACACATTCTGTTTCAGAAAAAAAATAGTTGTTTGTACACAAGAAAAATTAAATAAAAAACTTAATTGTAGTACCGTGTCTGTCGTCTTTAATGAAACATGTATAAAAGAAGGATTGCTGCCTAAATACACAATATTTTATTTTATATATATATATATATATATATATATATATATATATATATATATATATATATATATATATATATATATATATATATATATATATAGTGTAACCTGGATATAAGAGAGTTGTCGGGACCGGAGAAGAAGTCTCTTATATCCGGGTTTCTCTTATATCCGGGTTTGGTCTATTTTATATACATTAACACAGGCTCTAATTTGGGACCAGAGAAAATCTCTCTTATATCCGGGTTTCTTTTATATCCGGGTCTCTTATACCCGGGTTACACTGTATATATATATATATATAATAAAAATATAATGTTAAGGGATGCTATATTTATGAGTTAAATTGCTCAATATCACGGCTAAAGCGTATGTAAATATAAAAGCGGACATTGAGATCAACACCCAATTGCGACAGACTGTTGCATGCTTAAATATTTTTAAAAGAACACGATTCAAGAAGACAGAAGACAGTTGACGTTGCATTCAAATTTTTGAAGATCTCGAGTGACAGGAAAGAAACTCGAGAAGCCGGAAGAGTGTCCCACAAGCAAGAAATGCGAGAGAGGAAATTATTACATACAGCAATTTCAACAATAAAAGCGTGAGATCGAGCGCTTAAATTCATGTGCCGGGGCTCGAAATGAGAAATTACAGAGTCGTGTTTGTTATACAGAGCAACCTCGCTTCTCGAACGTCTCGCATGTGAAACCGAGTTAACCCGAACGGAATCATTTCTTAGTCGACCGCTGTCTTGTATACATTCGTTAGTTGTGATGTGCTTTTCTTTTCCAATTTTATTGTACTGTGCCTTTTTTCTCTTCATTAGTCCACTGTCATGGCTCCAAAGAAAGCTAGCAACGATACTGGTAAAGGAAAAAGAAAAGTTAAGAGAAAAACAATTGTTGATGATACTGTCTCTTCCTACTCAGTTTCATATGGCAAAATCAACATACACATACCATTCTTATAAAGAGACGATTATGTTTTTCCTTCCCTTTTCCAAAGAATGACATCTCTTTCCTTCCCCTTCCACTTACGCCATCAACTTTCCTACATGCAGGTACGATAAAATTGGAGTGTTCATCTATATTTTATCTTAGTATTGAGTTTATTTATTTATTTCTTAGATTTAATGATTTTCATTAGTTGTGTGTATAAACTTGTGCACAAAGTACTGTCTAAATAAGTATCTTGGGAGCAGAAACGGATTAATTCATTTTACATTGATTCCTATTGAAAAAATAGTTTCGGTTTCCGAACATTTCGGGTTACAACCGGGATTCAGGAACGAATTAAATTCGTGAACCAAGGTTCCACTGTATTCAGTTTTGCACAAATATCCTTGGTTAAGACATAAAACTGTCCTTTATCCCAGCTATGGGTTAAACAGTTGAACAGATTGGGCCTTGGCTGGCAACTATTCTAGGAGCAGGACCACACTGGTTTCAAAACCTAAAGAGGGCTATTTGGAGACTCGAGGCATATTATATGCACCAGTTCTCTGTATTAAAATGTTTCCAAAAAGTGTAGATGTTTTCCGCACGGCTGGATTATTGGGATCCCATCCGCCAACAAAGAGAGATTAAATGATAACATAATAAATATTCTATATTGAACGTTTCGACCTTCGAAAGGAATTCCTCAGAGAAAATGATTTTTTTTTTATCAATTAATGACAAAATAATATAATTAATATTGCACATTCGTGTATGAAATTAGATAAATTTTGTACATTTTATTTTGTACATTGGTAAATGAAACGAGATAAAAATAAATCATCTACGCAGACGACGACACTGTTTACTCCTGTCTCAATAGTAAATTCGACATTGCTGACAAAGTTAACCTGGTCGTTGTTCTCGAAAAAGACCTCCAATCTGTGGTTGACTTGGACAGGAAATGGCTTGTAAATTTTAATAGATCCAAAAACGAAATTACTCTCATTTACCCATCATAGAAAAACTTCCCTGTCTCCTAACAGCATGTTTGATGCGTCTCATTTCGCCTTTTTGGTCTCACGTTTTCCATTGACCTGAGGCGTAACAACTACATTGAATCAATAGCTGCATATACAGCAAGGAAAGTTTGTTC